CTTCGACTTCCCAGAACTCCATTCCCGGGCCACATTTTGGATGCCCGTAGCCAACTGTAGGCAACTTCGTGCTCTTCGACTTCCCAGAACTCCCATTCCTGGGCCACATTTTCAGCAGGGGCAAGAGCACGACGAGGAGGAGGACGAGCAAGACCAGGAGGACGAGGACGAGCAGGAGCAGGACGAGGAGCAGGAGGAGCAGGAGAAGAAGGACGAGCAGGAGGAGGAGGAGGACGAGCAGGAGGAGGAGGACGACCAGGAGGAGGAGGACGACCAGGAAGAGGAGGAGGAGGAGGAGGAGGGGAGGGGGAGGAGTACCAGGAGGAGGAGGAGGAGGAGGAGGAGGAGGAGGAAGAGGAGGAGGAGGAGGAGGAGGACGAGGACGAGGAGGAGGAGGAGGAGGGGGGGGGAGAGTACCAGGAGGAGGAGAACGAGGACCACCAGGAGGAGGAGGAGGAGGAGGAGGAGGAGGAGGAGGAGGAGAGAACACCAGGAGGAGGAGGACGAGCAAGACGAGGAGGACGAGAACGAGGACGACCAGGAAGAGGAGGAGGAGGAGGAGGAGGAGGAGGGGAGGGGGAGGACTACCAGGAGGAGGAGGAGGAGGAGGAGGAGGAGGAGGAGGAAGAGGAGGAGGAGGACGAGGAGGAGGAGGAGGAGGACGAGGAGGAGGAGGGGGGGGGGAGAGCACCAGGAGGAGGAGAACGAGGACCACCAGGAGGAGGAGGAGGAGGAGGAGGGAGGAGGAGAGAGCACCAGGAGGAGGAGGACGAGCAAGACGAGGAGGACGAGAACGAGGACGAGCAGGAGGAAGAGGAGGAGGAGGAGGAGGAGGAGGAGGAGGGAGGAGGAGCAGGAGAAAGAGAAGGAGGAGGAGGAGGAGGAGGAGGAGGCAGGCTGAGACTGAGGCTGTGACTGCGACTGCCGTTGCCGCTGCGACTGTCATCGCGAATGCGACTACGACTGCGAGAACAGCAGAATTCGACAACTGGATTTTCATCTGAATCTTAAGGGGAATGCTTTCAGATATGCTTCTACACATCGCTGTTAGGTTGCTTTGCCGGGATAATTTTCCACTTCGTAGTCGCTCAGGAACGAGACAGGCTAGATCGTTAAGTAGGGCTAGCGTTAAAAAAGGAGGAGGAAGAAAGAAAGGAGGAAGAGACCTCTTGAGAGCCTCTTGGGGCACTCTTGGGGTCTCCTGGGAGCTGCCTGGGAGCCTCTTGGAGGCCTCTTGGGGGTCTCCTTCGGCCTTTGGGGGGCTTTGGGGGCTTGTTCGGGGCCTCTTTGGCAGTCTTAGGGCGTTCCTGGGCCGTCTGACGCCGTCGGGAGCCGTCTTAGGGCCTCTATGGGCCGTCTCGGGGCTCCCTTGGGGTGCTTCAGGGCCTTTTTGGATGCCATCTTGGCCAGTCATGGAGGCCCCCCTCTGGGCTGGCTTGGGGTTTCTTCGGCCTTCTTGGCGCCATCTTGGAGGCCTCTTGGACGCTCTGGGGACGATCTTGGGGGCCTCTTGGGCTGTCTTGGGCCGTCGGAAGGCCGACAACAAGAACATACCCAAATCCTTCAAACACCACAGGGGAGTCAATGATTTTGGCTTCCTCGGGTTCTCCAGGAGGACCTCTTGGAGGCCTCTTGGGCCGTCTTGGAGGCCTCTTGGGGGCCTTTTGGGGACCTCGTGGACCGTCTTGGAGGCTTCTTGGGCAGACTTGGAGAGGCATCTTGGACCTTCTCGGGCCGTCTTGGAGGCCCTCTTGGACCATCTTGGGCGAACTTGGAGGCCATTTTGGCCGTCTTGGAGGCCATCTCGGGCCATCTTGGCTATCTCGGAGGCGATTTGGGCAATCTCCCGGGGGTCGCCCAGAGCTTTCCGCGTGGCCCGCGCAATGAGCCGAAGCCCCAGGGGAAGTTCTGTTGGAGAAAGAACCCAAACCGTATAGGATTCAGCACGCCAGGCACCCGCGTGACAAGCACAGGAGGCGGCGGATCGAAGACGCCTACGGCGAATCACCGCCGCCCCCTGCCTTTTTGGAAGCGCATATGTGGCCGAACGTTGAGGCCAGACCTGCCAAGCTATCGGACCATGTGTTCCCCGAATCGGTTTGGAAAGCCTTCGGGGAACACGTGGGCATCTTGAAGGTCATCTTGGCCGTCTGGAGGCCATTTTGACCCTTTCAGGCCTTCTCTTGGAGGACGTTTTGGAGGGCTCCTGGGCCGTCTTGGAGGCCATCTTGAGCGTCTTGGAGGCCTCTTGGGCCGTCTTGGGGCCTCTTGAGGCCGTGTCTTGGGCCTCTTGGGCGATCTTTGGGGGCACTTGGGCCGTCTCGGGCCGTCGGAAGGCAGAAAACAAGCAAATGCCACAATCTTTCAAAAACCCATTGGGAATCAATGATTGTGGCCTTTTCGGGCCTTCCTGGAGGCCCTCTTGGAGGCCTCTTCGGCCGTCTTGGGCCATCTTAGGGCCATGTTCGGCCGTCTTGGTCGGTTCCTGGCACGTCTGACG